AGAAAGAAAGAAAGAAAGAAAGAAAGAAAGAAAGAAAGAAAGAAAGACAGACAATTAATAATTATTCTTGAATCAGAATTTTCTATCAGTTAACTGAAGAGGCAAAATTTGAATTTCTCCCAGGTGAAGACAGATGTCAAGATCAAAGAATTAAATATTAACAACTGCCTCTTCTACAAAAAACACATTATTTTTTAAAAATTCTTCTCTGTGCATTTGGATTAAAATAAGTATTTAACAGGGATACATTTAAAGTTAGGCATCTGAATAGGAAAAATGAAACTCGCAAATAGGGAATAAAGGAAACCCACCTTGCCAATACAGGTAGTCTTTGACTTACAACTAGTTGCTTTGAAATTCTAATGGGCTGAAGAAAAGGTACTGACAACCTGGATTTGAAGTTCTGGTGGCCACCCCCCCAATTCATGTGATTGCATTTTGGGTGCTCAACTACCAGCCGACATTTAAAGCCATCTGCAGTATCCCACAGTCACATGACTATGTTTACTTCCAGTTTCCAACAAAAAATGTGTATTGTGAACAAAGGGTTATTTTAACAACCACAGCATTTGCTTAATGACTGAAGATTTTCTCACCGAACATGGCAATTCACTTAATGATCACCGTAAAAAAAAGGTCATAAAATCTGATCAATCACAGGATGACTTGCATGATTTTTGACCGTAATTCATCATCATCACCACCTTCATTTAACGACCCCATAATTCGTTGCGGGGCGCAGCCTGGGGAACTAAATGGAACTAGCAGTGTTTTAATGGCCGGGTGCCCTTCATATCGCCAATGCTGAGTTTTGTTCAGCAGATACATTTTCATTGTGCACAAAGAAATATCTGCCTCTACCTAGGATCGAACTTGCAGCCTTCTGATCATGAGACGAGAGCTCCACCGCGAGGCCACCGCACCGCTCCTTTTTACTGTAATTCCTGATTCAATTATGGGCATAAGACAAGGACTATCTGTATAAAAAGGATCTGCTAAAGACACAGATGATCCCTCAAAGAGGTTTAACAGGAGCAAAGAATCCAGATCACAAGGAGTTCATTGTTCTACTTTCCTTCAATCTGGTCATTTATCGGATTCCTTACCCGAGATTTCCAACTCTGCCCAGTGGGACTTCTTCCCATTGGCTACCTCTTCTGCTGACATGATGGTATATATTCTGCGAGGATCTGGAGGATCATATTTTTCCTTTGGCATCCCTGTTAGTCTGAAAGAAACAGCGGCTCATTACTACAGCTTGCAAGTTATAACAACACATTTCTCATCATTAAATGACTCATAAGCATGAAAAATAACTGGTGTACAGTATGTCGTGAAAGGCTTGTTTGCTGCAAAATTCTGCAGTGAAAATTAAGCTAGTCATAATGGGAGCCACTCTCTAGTCTTAAAACGTTATATTTATTACTACAGGTGGCCCTGAAGTTACAACAGTTCATTCACCATTCAAAGTGGCAGCGACACTGAAAAAGCTGACTTATGACCTTTTTTTTACATTTACAACCATTACAGCAAGAGGTCATGTGATCAAAATTCAGACGATGAGTCAACCGACTCATTTATGACAGTTGCAGTGCTATAAAGCCATGTGATCACCTTTTGCCACCTTCAATGGGGAAGCCAGATTCATTTAATAACTGTGTTACTAATTTAACCACTGCAGCGATTCACTTAACAACTGTGGCAAGAAAGATTGTAAAACGTGACAAAACTCACTTAATATCTGCGTCATTTAGCTACAGAAATGTGGTCCATGAAAGACAGGGCCACCTCTGAGAAAGCCCTGTTCTGGGTATCAACGGATAAGCCTCCTTTGGTAGCGAGACTCTCAACAAGCTGTAATTTATATGTTCATTTTCAGACAGATTTTATTTACCAAATTCATTTGCTGCCTCCATCTTATGGTTCAGGGCAAGATTCATTTTGGAGTGGGCAGTTCTAAAGATTATCTAGAAATATCCCAATGGCAAAGAAAAAAAATTAGGGTGACGGTTGGCTTATCAACAAAAGGGCGACCAGTTCAAAACAGTATTTTGGAAGAGAGACCATTGCAATCTAAGTCTCAATGGATGGCCTGTTAGCTTCTGCTTTTTTTTATTTAAAAGTTCCCTTTATATTATTATATCACTGTGTGTGCTCTTCTGTGGGATATTACTGTTCCTGCATTTTAAAAACAGTATGTCACTTTGAAGCTTGTGCACAGAAATATAATAGAGACAACTTTAATAAAGATTTTATTTTTTATTTATTTATTTTGATTTGTCAATCGCTTACAAGATAATAGGTATAAGTATATAGTTATGAATACATGAAATGGGCGTTGGTACCTACCTGATACGCCCGTTCTCGTCGAGCTGCGTAGAGCATCCAGATAATGGGAGGTGCTCTAGTCTTCGCTCTGACAGGCTGAGCTATGATTGAAGGAACGCTCCTCCTCCTCCACGTGACATCTCCACGCGTTCCCCCAGTTTTACGAAGACGAGAAGACAGCAACTATCCCCTCGTGTCAACTATATTACAAGACTCAACTCCGAACTATAAACATCATTGGCCGAAAAGGGATTCCCCCCCCCCAGACGGACCAAATAGGGTGGGGCTGGATGCTCTATGCAGCTCGACGAGAACGGGCGTATCAGGTAGGTACCAACGCCCATTCTCCGTTGAGCTGCTGCGAGCATCCAGATAATGGGACATACCAAAGCCTGGCTTGTCCTACGGGAGGGACTCCGTCTGGTCCGGAATCACCTCTGGGTCCTTTGCCACCTGTTGAAGGACTCGCCTGCCAAAGGATGCCTCAGCTGAGGCGAAAACATCGATTTTATAGTGGCGTATGAATGGAGATGGAAAGGCCCAGGTAGCCGCTCGACATATGTCCTGAATTGACGCCTGGGTAGCCCAGGCAGCCGAGGTGGCCGCACTCCTTGTAGAGTGAGCGGTAATGCCACTAGGGACAGGAAGAGCCTGTGCTATATAGGCCTTGGATATAGTGGCCCTAATCCAACGACCAACAGTAGACGGGGAAACCTTGCAACCCAGCGTCTTTGGCTGAAAGGACAGGAATAAGGATTCAGATTTTCTGATTGAGTACGGTAGATGTAAATACGAAGAGCCCTTCGCACATCAAGAGTGTGCCACTGCCTTTCCCTTTCTCGAGAAGGCTTGGGGCAAAAATTAGGTAGGATTAATTCCTGAGATCTGTGGAAGGCCGAGTTGATTTTAGGCATAAAAGCGGGGTCTGGCCTCAGAACCACCCGATCAGCGTGGAAGACGCATAAATCCTTTCTCACGGATAGAGCTGCTATTTCAGATATCCTTCTTGCTGATGTTATTGCCACCAAGAACACTACTTTGAGTGTGAGGAACTGAAGAGACGCCTCCCTGAGGGGTTCGAAAGGAGGTTTAGTTAAAGCCATCAGAACTTTATTAAGGTCCCAGGTAGGGTACCTGTGAATCACTGGAGGGCGAATATTGGAAGCCCCTCTAAGGAAAGACCTTATGCAAGGGTGGTGCGAGAGTGAACCAGAAGAACTGCTAGAAATCACCGTTGCCAGGGCTGCGACCTGCCTTCTCAGAGTGTTGGGGGAGAGACCCCTATCCAGCCCGGCTTGTAGGAAAGCGAGGAGCTGGGCGATCGAAGGTGAGAGCGGATTCACGCATGACTTACGGCACCACTGACAAAAAATATTCCAGGTGGCGTCATAAATACGAGTAGTCGAAGGCCGCCTTGCTGCCAAGATGGTAGTGATGACCTGAGCCGAAAAACCCTCATCCTTTAATCTTTCCCGCTCAACCTCCAGACGGCTAGCTGAAGCCACTGCGGGTCCGGGTGCTGAAGAGGGCCCTGGGACAGAGAGATCCTGTCGAGGGGAATCCTCCATGGTGGTGCCACTGACAGATTGCGCAGATCCGCAAACCACAGCCTCCTGGGCCAAAACGGGGCTATCAGGAGGACCTCCGCCTGCTCGATGATCAATTTCTGAATCACCCTGGGTATTAGCGGGAGGGGTGGGAAGGCGTATAGAAGCCCGGTGGGCCAAGGGCAGCGTAGGGCATCGTGATTCTCCGCGCCGTCGGCAGGATAACGAGAGAAGAACCTCGGTGTCTGGGCGTTGAGGGGAGATGCGAACAGGTCCACCACAGGCTGACCGAACCTCGCTGCCGCCTCCCTGAATAAGGAGGGGTGTAGGCGCCATTCTGATTGGTCCAGCTTGGCCCTGCTCAGCCAGTCTGCTTGGACGTTCGAGACCCCCGAGATGTGCTCTGCCCTGATGGATAAGAGATGTCTTTCTGCCCATCGACAAATGCGCTCGGCCTCTCTCATGAGACGAATGGAATGAGTGCCCCCTTGACGGTTGATGTGGGCCTTGGTGGTAGTGTTGTCTGTTAAAACCAGAATGTGCCGGCCTCGCACCTGAGGGAAGAAGGCACGTAGAGCCAGATACACTGCATGCAACTCCAGCCAGTTGATGCTGCAGCGTCGCTCGGCTACTGACCAAGTTCCCTGGGCTGAAAACGACTGCATGTGAGCTCCCCCGCCGTAAAGGCTGGCGTCTGTTATGAGAGTGGCCCTCTGGGGCTCCTTGAAGAGATGACCTCGATTGGTAGACGGCCTTGTCCACCAGAGGAGCGAGGCGAGAACTCTTGGGGGGATCTTCACCACGAGCCTTGAGTTGCTCCTTCCGGAACGTTGGTAAGGCAGAAGGAACCACTGCAGAGATCTGGAATGTAAACGTGCCCAGGGAATAATTGAAATACAGGAGACCAACTTTCCAAGCAGCTTGGACAGGTTTAGTAACAAAGCCCTTTTATTTTGCCTGATTGTCTTGATAGCTTTTTGTATACTGGTGAATCTTTCTTGTGAAAGAAATACCCTCTCCTGAACCGAATCAATAACAGCCCCTAGATGCGCTATACGGGTGGAAGGATTAAGCTGGCTCTTTTCCCGGTTAACGAGAAATCCATGGGCCTGAAGCACTGAGAGGGTAATCTTAGTGTCACTCTCAGCCTGCTGTCGGGTAGGAGACAGAATAAGGATGTCGTCGAGGTAGCAGTGAATGCGAATAGGGAAATGTCTCAGGTGTGCTGCCAGAGCCGCCAACACCTTGGTAAAGGTCCTCGGGGCCGAGGCAAGACCGAAGGGAAGGGCTACATACTGGAAGTGTTGATTGTTATAACAAAATCTCAGATACTTGTAATACGATGGATGAATAGGTACATGCAGATAAGCCTCAGAGAGATCGATGAAAGTGAGCCAGTCTCCCTTCCTAGTACCCTGTAAGATAGACTGGAGTGTGTGCATTTTGAATTTGTGATGAACTACATAGCGATTGAGCCTTTTTAGATCTAAAACGGGTCTCCATCCCCCGGAATGCTTCGGGACCAGGAAGAGGAGGGAATAAAACCCTCTTCCCCGCTGCGACAAGGGTACAGACTGGATGGCCTTGATGTCTAAAAGATGAGTGACAGCGGACGCCATGAGAGCCCGCTTAGACGGGTCCCTGGAAAGGGGAGAAACCATAAAGTGTTCCGGGGGAGGTGATTGAAACTGAAGGGGGAGACCAAACCTAACAGTATCCCTAACCCAGGAATCAGACGTGGATAAGTCCCACTGGTGGGCAAAGTACTTAAGGCGACCGCCAATGGGATAAGAAATTGAAGGTCTACCTGGGATGGCGGGGAGCTTTATTCCCAGCGCCCCGGAAGGGCGTCCTGTAGGAGCCTCCCCGTCTATTTCTATCCCCAGAGTCGTTCCAGTCCTGATAGGTCGACCGGAACATTGGGGATCCCTGATACCTGGGGGTGAAGGCCGGTGGAAAGGAAGATCGAAAGGAGCCCCTCCGAAAGGACTGAGATCCTCTAGACTCCTGCCTCCGAAAAAGAGATGAAAGGAATTTCTTCTTATTTCGGCTCTCCATCAGCAACGGATCAAGTGCAGGGCCAAACAATTTCCCTCCTGACAAAGGAGCTGAGGCTAATTTGGCTTTGTTCTTGACATCGGCCTGCCAGTGCCGAAGCCACAGTAATCTACGTGCAGAGACGTGTGAGGAGATGGCCCTAGCGGAAAACTTTACAGAATGAAAAGTAGCATCGGCCGCGAACTCTGCTGCGGCCGTTAGCTTCGCAATGTCCTGATGTGCCCTAGTGTTTGAAGGGGGGACATGCTGTCTTAACTGCCTGAGCCACCTGATAGAGGCCCGGGTGAAGAACGAT